GGGGCCAGGCTTTCGGGGTAGGGGTGGGGTGGGGAGTTTTGGGGGGTGGGAGGCGGGGGGTGGTTTGGGGATAGGCGAATCGGGGTGGTGTGGGTGAGGGTGTCCATTCACCTCGCGTGGTTTGGCGGTTGCTGTCCTATCGTGCGGCCGCGCGGGGTCCATCCCTCTCCACCGTTCACCAAGGGCGGCAACAAGAAAGGTGGCGGTCGACGGATGCACACCGCCGAGCACGTATTTGAGAGGATGCGGGCGTCCTCATCAAATCCACAACGGGACTCCAGATGCCCGCTTCAGACTCCACACGCCAGCGTTCTCGCCATCTCGCACTCACATTCGCCTGCTCCTGCCTCTTGCCCGCGCATCGCTTTTTCCACAAAACGAAAGTAGTCGCGCACTGCACTCCACCACCCTCGACGATCCTCGCCTTCCAGCGGGGTCGCCGCCCTGCGCGCACGGTCGACCACTCTAATCTCGTTGTGAAAAGTGCAAGTGGTCGTCATCGAGTCGGCAACACAACATCGCCATCGATGCCATCGTCGTCATCTTGCCTTTTTGTCTGCAGCACCTCGATCGTCATCTTCGTCGCCATCATCGGCATCGTTGACGAGATCGTGGTCGTCATATTCGTCGCCATCATCGCCATCGTCCACGCAATCGCAGCCGTCATCCACGTCGTGTGCTTCTCTTCTGCATCGCCATTGTCCCCGCCGTCATCTTTTTCGCCGGCGTCGCCCTCGTGTTGGCCGTGGACTGCGCCATCGTCGTTCTTAACATCGTCGTTATCGTCATCATCGCCATTGTCGTCGTCGTCATCGTCGCCGATGTTGTCATCGTCCACGTGGCGTCACGGACTGTGAATTGTTCTTTTCGGATTTGCGACTGGTCAGTCAGTGAGCGGTTGTGTTGTGCGCCATGTCGTCCCGCGGTGCTGGACGCAGCAAGAACGCCACCAACCAGGCAATGGAAGCGGCGGTGCGGGAGAAAACGGGTCGACACAACACCAACAAGAAGAGGAAGGCCGTCCAAGGCGGGCCCTCGGGTGCAGGAAGCGTCGCAGACGACGAATGGGTGGGGGAGGAGGTTACGCCGCAGGAGGAGAGGGACTCCGAGGAGGAGGAGGAAGCGCCGTTGAAGAGGAGGACGCTGAGGCGGACGGGGGGAGGCATCCGAATCAAAGAGAGAAGAATTGAAGCGCATGCAGAAAGACGACGTGGAGGAGGCCGCGCAGGAGTCGACGACGTTGCCAATGTGGAAGCCGCGGCAGCATCGAGGGAGGGTTTGGTAGTTGGCGTCGTGCAGCCGCATCGCGTGCCCGTTCCACGTTTCAACGACGCCCCGGACGCGCACAAGCCTGCAGTCCGCGCACGAACACCAGCAACCCCACGACAGCGGACGACTGCAGACGTTGCAAGGAGTTGACAATCGGTCGCTGAAGGGAATAGGAACCGTTCTCCTGCACATGAGGCGGCGAGGCGCAGGGGGGCGCTGTGGGGGGGGTTCACATGCGGGGGATGCCGCGAGGGCAGAGGAAGTCGACGGGGAGGGGGAGGACGATGAAGCGTTGGTGAACAAGGTGCGGCGGCGGGATACGCGGGATCGAATTTAGGCGGCGTCGAAGTTGTGGGTAGATGACTTGCGGTTCTGGAACGAAACCGAAGGAAACGCCATAGTCAAGTTGATACAGGAAGCGTGCCTGTGTCTTGTGGCGGTGGCGCGGCGACTGCAGCCTCTGGTCGTTCGTCGAAGCATCGTCTTGCCTTGTACCACCATCCCGCAGCAGAAAATCGAGGATCAAACGGAGTTGAACGCTGCGAAGGAGAGGGCATTCAAGGTGCAGACCATCGCTTTGCGGGTGATCCACGGGTGGGTCTTCAAGTCGACGACCATGCAACGGGGGTACCACGCTGCGTACGGGTACGAGTTGAACCACGAGGCCACTGACATCGCTCGCGCCATGTGGATGGGGGAGGACTGGCGTATATGTGTGAGCCCCATGGTGTTCCACATTAAGCTGGACATGGATATGAAGTTGCCAATGTGGTTCGTCGGGACCGACATTGAAGACAAGCACGAGAACGACGACTCAACGGCGTATTAGGAGGCGAGCATCCAGCGACTGGTGGGGGCTTTCACGAGCGTCGTGAGCATGGTGGAGGGGATCGATGGCGGGTGGGTGTTGTACGAAAGGTTGAAGAGCGTTGCTGACTCGATGAGGATAATGCTCGCGGCGACCATGTGGCTCCTGCGGATGAGCGGGGACGATCATCGCGCACATTACGACGAGTGGGTTTTCGTCCAACTCACAGCGAAGCCAATGCTCATGGCATCCATGCATCACTCATTCGATGTGTGTCACTATATCCTGCAAGCTGCTACCGTTATCACGGACAAGCTGGCGAGACCCCCAATGACTTTGGTACACCTTCCGTTGTACATCCCCGACTAGGCGTCTTGCGGCGTCAAGTTCTCACATGACGCCAGCTTGCCTTCCCCCATGGACGCCAAGAAGCTTGATTGGTTGGGTACAGGCCTATGAATCCCCCCGCGGCCGCGGTCGCCACGGGTACGACCGCAGGCCACGGTCATGACCGCGGCGACCGCGGGCAAAAACGGGCCACCACGGCCGAGGAGGGAGGGGTGTGGGTGAGAGGGTTGTGGATTGGGGTTCCGGAACCCCGACTCCAACCCCTTGAACAGAAAAAAGTTAAAAAAATATATTTTCGAGGGGGTGGTTTTTTGTGTGTGAAAAAAAAAAAAATAGAAAAAAAAACTGATTGATTGATTGAATGAATGATTGATTGATTGATTGATTGATTGGTTGATTGATTGATTGATTGATTGATTGATTGATTGATTGATTGATTGGTGGGGGAGGGGTCTCCCCTCCCCTCCCCCCAGCACACGCACGCACACACACACACACACACACACACACACACACACACACACATACAAATGGCAAGCCCGCGGGCGACCGGGGGCGAAGGTGCGACAGCGGGCGGGCGCAAGTGGCGGTGTATATTTCCATTTTCTAGCGGGAGATTCATTCCATTTTGCGCCTCCTCTCGGTGGGAGTGCCATGAGCCCAGCCGCGAGATTGGAAACTTACCTGTTCTCTCTCTCTCTCTCTCTCTCTCTCTCTCTCTCTCTCTCTCTCTCTCTCTCTCTCTCT